GCCAAACCGCCATGGATATAAAGAGTTTCGTTGAATAACTCAAGGCGTGAAGAATGGCTTGGAACAAGACCTAAAAGACTCAAGGACAAGATCAAGAATTGAAGACTTAGTCGAGTCGGTCTTTTGTGATCAAAACCGACAATAAATTCAAGTCTCGGTTCTCAAAAAGTCAAAACAATTTTTACAAATCATAAAATATTTTTTGTGCATCAAAAATTTTTTTTTTGATGATTTCTTTTATTGTTAAAATCCCTGGTCCTTGCTCAGAACCGAAACCACCTAAGTCGGCGTTCGGCTTTCGACGATCGGCTTTCAGCATTCGGCTTTCGGCGTTCGGTTTTTGGCGCCCGAACCAACTCCATGGTTTTCAATATTTTAAACCCTGTTTTTACCTCTGAGCATTTTTAAAATGTTCCTAAATAATTATTTTATAAAAACCACTTTTGTATCTTGGTCAATCGGTCTAACACGTTGAAAACGGTCTAAACCGTACGCACGTATTATACGACCTTGGAGACTTGGTTTTTACCAAACAAGTCTTGTTTTCACTATTTTATACCATATACAATATTTTCCAAACCTGGTTTTACTTTTGGGAACACTTCGTTTTTGGACCTCGGTTTTTCAAAACGGGTTTCAGCTGGCTAGACTTTAGCTGGGTGATAATCGATTATCACCTTAGTGACAATCGACTATCAGCCCCTGCAGCTTTGAACTTCCAAAGTTCCGAATATCACTTATGCAATAATCGATTATCAGTCTTTGCAGCCAAAACCCAGAATCTTCTGAGAGGACCAATAATCGATTATCACTTGTTGACAATCGATTATCTGGGTTACCGTTGTCCTCCAACGGATAGAATTTTTAATTTTTGGATAGGGAATCTTTGGATAATCGATTATCAAGCTTTGATAATCGACTATCAGCCTGTGTCCCAGAAAAATTTGTCTTCATCCTGTTGGAAGTTCTAGCAACGGGTTTATCCTATTTTGGGCTATAAAATGGCACCCAAATCCTCTCATTTTACACACAATTCTTCAACATTTCAATACTCCTTCATTGCATAAGCATTCCTATTTTTCTTAGCTATTTGAGAGCCAATTCTTGAAGAAATTGTCGTGTTCTTGAGCGTTTACTAGTTCACTCATATCTACTCTTTGTGAGAGTTTTATCCCTGAGTGTTTAAGTGTTTTCATACACTTTAAGGGAGGTTGTTCCCTTGTTGTAAACTCGAAGGAAATTACTTGTTCCTTCGTGAGAAGTCTTGGAGTGCGGTATCTCCGAGCAAAGGTATTGAGGCTCGTGTGACTCGGGTTCTCAAGTTGTATCGGTTTGTTAAGCACCCTTAAGCTTAACGGAGTTAGTGTAGCTCGAGAGAGTCTCTCGGGGGGCTGGATTAGCCACACGTTGTGGTGAACCGGGATAAAATTCGGTGTGCTCCTTCCTTACGCTCTTTACTTTAACGCTCTTGTTTTAATTTCCTGCGATTTTGTTTTAAACGCTATTCACCCCCCCTCTAGCGTTGGGCCTTTATTCTAACAAAGTGGTGTTTTTAGGCTCCAAAGGAAAATTCAAATTTGAATTTGAATTTTTGATGAGTTGGGGTAGAAAACTAGGTCGGATAGATTATTTCGTGTACCAAAAGATGTCTCAAAATATTTTTCTGACCAAAAAATATTCTTCTAGTTTCGAAATAAATATTTTGATAAATGTTTGAAACGCCTTTTATTACTGACTGAACAAAAGCATTTTTGAACAGTTTAAAAGGATTATTCAACTCACTTCAACACAAATACACTTCTATATAACTCTCGTAAAAATAATTTTGGAGTAAAGAATATTTTTTTCATCCTTAGAATATTTCTTAAGACTCCAATGAAAGTAAAACTGTTCAAAAATCTTTTTCTTCACTCCCGTTAGGCATCGCAGCCTTCAATAAATCTTATGCTCCTTGAATACTTTAAGGAGTTGGGCATTTTAAGTTTTTGTGTTCGTTAATATAGCACTTTATTCTTAACTTGAACAACTTGTGTTTGTCAATTTTCAAAACATGAGAGTCAATACTCAAACGGAGAAAAATGGTTGAACTCAAGCATTCTAACTTTTTATACTTTCAATAATTTTTTTTATAGATTGATAACCACAATGCTTTCTATGCTTACTCGAATGAGTTATGTATATCATTGTGAACTTTCATGTTCTATTTTCTTATATTTTTCAAGAAATAAAAATTCCTCACATCATTTCAATAAAATAAATTAAAGAGCAAATCTGAGGTTTTCAGGAAGTGGTAGTTCAACTTTTCCTTTCATGCAACAAATCGAGAGCTCTAGATACTCTGAATCTCTACTTTTTCGACTCTTTGTTCATACCTTAATAAAGCTCTATAAAGCTCTCAAGTAAATGTGAGATTCCCAAAATCAATGATTTCCACGGGAAAAAGAAAAAATGAAATAGTCAATGGTTTCTATATATTTAACATTTTACATAACTTACACGTTTTCATATAATCTAAACATACTTTTATGTTTAGCTTCTCTAAATACTACTAAAATTAAATTTTCTAAAAATAAATGTATTGTGCTCTATTGAGCATATGAATCTTCTACTCCAACATTTAAAATTGAAATATATTGAGTGTATCACCATAATAATTTATGTGTTACCTTCATAGAAACTAATATCACATATTATAGAAGACAAATCAATTCTTTTGTCTCCTATGTGCTTGAAAACGTGATGATGTGGATGTACAATTGTTCCCTGGTTGAAATACTGTTCAGCTAATTTTTTAGGAAAAATGTATAGAAAAAAATTATTTCATTCAAAATGATAAAAATACCATTTGTATCATCACATAATACAGTCCTTCTTGAACTATCCCTCTCCATCTTTACCTATAATATCCATCATAAAATAAATATTGTACTTTTTTTTGCTCTAAAAACTTTGAATATCACAAGCTTTTTAGATCTTTTTTAAACATAAATATATGGTAATCCAAAATAGCATTACAGTTTTCTCTATTATTCACTGCGAACTTTAATTTGTGTACAATATAATTTTGTACGATAATCCAGTAACATTTTTTTCATGAAACGGCACAACAAATTTTTTATACTTCTTTTCTATTTGTTTGACAATTCACTAAAAAAAGTTTGAATTACAAAATCTTTTCAAGAATAACAATGTAAATGATATTTTCGATAATCTATTTTTTCCGGTCTGAATGATGCAACAAAAAGTGTGTAAATGGCACATCAATTACTATTTTAAAATGACTACAACTTTATCCGATAAGTCATCACAATTTTATTCTACCATTTTTATTCTTATTTTTATTTTGGAATGTTATTTTCTTTTATTTGGTATCTTAGTTTTGTTTAAATCGATGGAATTATATCGTGTACGTGCAATAAATACCATAAAATAAATATTGTAATTTAATTTTTGGGCTTTCTAAACTTTGAACTGCACATCCCTTTAGAATACTTTTTAAACATAAATGTGCGTTTAGTTCAAAATATCATTACATTAATATTTTTCAATTATTCATTGTGAACCTTAATTTGTAAGCAATACAACTTTTTACAATAACTCACTAATATTTTTTTATGAAACGACACAACAAATATTTGTTCATACTTCTTTTCTAATTTTTTGACAATTCACTAAAAAACAAAAATTGAATTACAAAACTTTTCCAAAACGCCAATGTAAACTTTTTCGATCTGTTTAATATTTTAGATTCCTTATAAGAAAAGAGAAGGAGATGCGAGAATTGAATGCTGTAGAAAGAAAGAGAATTGGAGATGAAACTGTTTTTTTAATTGCTTCTCGCTCGTAGAAAAGACACTCTATATTTGGATGTATGGGTTAAGGTACAACATATTTGGTTAGTTTAAAGTCCAATAGGAATTGCTGATTCATCTCCATAGACCATGAGGATTAATAAAGTAGGTGGCAAGTCAAAAAAAATGTCTCCTAGTCAAGTCACATATCAAAATTCTATTAGTTCAACTCTCAAATATTATACTCCCTCCGTTTCTTAAAACCCTTCCTCTTTCATTTTTTTTGTTTTTCTTAAAACACTTCCCTTTTCTATTAAAAAACCACTTTTACCCCTACTTTTTCATACCCTACTTATCACATCATACTTTTTCACTAACAACTAAACCATCACATCTTACTTTTACCCATCACATCAAGAGCAAAATTGGAAAGTCAACTACAATTTAACACTTCCTTATTCTTCCCCAAAGTCAAAAGGGGAATTGTTTTGAGAAACGGAGGTAGTATATAAAGATAAAAATATCAAATATACATGAGTAAACTTATTGAATACGGTATATATAAATAAAAGGTCTAAAAGTTACCATAAATTATTATTAAAAATGGTAAATAAATAGTTAAAATATGTTATGTATGTTTTCCATGTGCCATGTCATTTTAAAGCGCTAGAGTGGAGAAGGTATATGGTACAACCGGATATACGGTACATCTGGGTAGTACTCATTTTGAAGTAGCGTAGTACTCATTCCCGCACAAATATAATTTGCGTGGTACTCATTGTAAAACAATGTAGTACTCATTTTCACACATTGTTTCAATATAATTATAACATTCATCTACAAATAATGTAGTGTTCAGCACTCATTCTCAAATAATTTAGTGTTCATTTTCATGTAAAATAAAATTTATACCATAAATAATTTCTTAATTGGGTACAACCGGATGTAGAATATAATTTGTCGCTAGAGTGAGACATGTCAAATTCTTAGTCTAAAGTAGTTGCTGATAGACATGGCTGCCGAGTTTGGACCTACTTGGTGTAGTCAATCTTGCCCTGCGAAGTGCATGCAGAGCAGAGAACCTTCTCATTGTTTGACTTGGACCAAAATCTGAATATTCAAACGCAAACTTACAATGTGTTTTTCCTGTTCCGTTGGCTATTCTGGAATGACATTATTCTAGGTTTATTGAAATGCACAAATGGATCAGATTGCAGTGTTATGAAATTCGCCGAGCCAAACTGGTATTATGACCTGTTTCTCGCTCTGCCGCAGAAGGAAATCGTCTCCCCCGAGGCACCAAGTAGACATTGAAGGAGGTACTGTTAATGCATATTCCTCATAATAATCCAACTTATATCTGTCACTCACTCTGCTAATTTTTCTGAATTTGGAACAGAGATTTCAAGTATTCATAACACTAAGCTGTACAGCCACAAAGAACTCAGTATTGCCACTGATGATTTTAGCCCATCCAACAAAATTGGCGCAGGAGGGTTTGGCACTGTCTACAAGGTACAACTTTTTTTTGTTGTTTCCCATAATTTCATGTTTTTAAACTTGTTGATAAATTCTTTAATGTAGTCCACAACAGGTCTTGATTAATCCCCATCTAAGCATGCCTAGATGCTAGATTCTAGTCTACAAAGAGATGGATTAATAAGACTTGCTATGGACTAAATTAAATTTTGTGTGTGTGTCTGTGCAAAGCATGGGGTCATGGTAACCCAAAAATGTTGAGGTTATCCTAGTTTTATTTGTTACTCCGTATAATTTATAACGAGTTTGAAGGTATATAGTTGATGGTATATGCTCGCTTTGTTTTTCTCTCGTTTGTAGGGGAGGTTGAGTGATGGAACTTTAGCTGCGATTAAGGTTCTTTCGGCCGAGTCAAGACAGGGTGTAAGGGAATTCTTGACAGAGATTGTGGTTATCTCAGGTCTGGAGCATGAAAATCTGGTAAAGCTACATGGTTGTTGTGTAGAAGGGGAACATAGGATATTGGTCTATGGCTATCTTGAAAACAATAGTCTAGCTCAAACTCTCACAGGTTTTGCCAATCTCTATATCCCTCTGCTGTGGAGATTTTAACTCAATTTTTTAAAAAAAAAAAAAATTACTTATGATTAAATGATCTATTTGCATGTAGGATCCAGATCCAGTGGGATTCAGTTTAGCTGGAGTGAGAGGACTAGAATATGCATAGGGGTTGCCAGGGGACTTGCATTCCTCCATGAAGAAATCCACCCTCACATTATTCACAGAGACATCAAAGCAAGCAATATCCTTCTCGACAAAGATCTTACCCCAAAGATTTCAGACTTTGGCCTTGCCAAGCTTTTCCCGCACGAGCTTACTCATATCAGTACGCGCGTAGCAGGGACCCCGTAAGTCCTCACACTCTTCTCAAGTTAGTATATGGGAATCCACTTCATTTGTTTGCGAGCAAATTAAGTAGAAGTATAAGCAAAAACGTATAAGGTTGTGTTCCGTTTGCTGATCTGATCTTTTTTTGAAGATGTGGTCTAATCTCATTTGATTTTCTAATCTGATTGGATATGACAAGTTTGATTTGATTTGATTTTAATACGAATAAGTAATAAATTGAAAAAATATTGAACAGAATGAACCCTAAGTGGAAGTCCTCTCTTTTTCTTTTTTTTTGACTCGATTTTGTGTGCACAACCACCCCATGGCTGCAGGGGTTATCTGGCTCCAGAGTATGTAATTCGCGGGCAATTGACAAAGAAGGCTGACATCTTTAGTTTTGGGGTTCTCCTCCTGGAAATTGTTAGCGGAAGACCCAATACTGACAAGAGACTACCACTCGATGATCAATATCTTCTAGAAAGGGTATGGATTCCTGAATTTGCAAACATAGAGTTCATCCAAAGTGTACATATTAGGATAGAAAAAATAGTTTAAAGTGCTTGATCACACAAGTTTGAATGAATGCAGGCATGGAAAATCTATCAAAGAGATGAGCTGGTTGAGGTGGTTGATCCATTACTAGGAGCAAACTTCGATTTAGATGAAGCGTGTAGGTATATAAAGATTGCTTTGCTATGCACGGGTTTCATGCCCAATAGCCGACCATCTATGCCAACGGTGGTGAAATTGTTGGCAGGGGAGATGGAAGTGGATGGCATGAAAATATCAGAACCGGGTCTGTTGCCTGAACTTTTGGGTCTGAGGAATAGGACGAGAAAAAACCTGGGAACCGTATCTGCTGGGTCAGGGAATGATGAAGGCAAGTCTTCAACACTGACAGACAACACCGTCTGCACTACACAGGCAACAATGACATTCACCTCCATATCTGATAGGAGTACTTGAAGAAATATAATTGCATGACAATCATAACACTATAAGTGTTCTATCACTTTTATGGGTATTTTTTGGTTTTATTTGGCAAAATATTTCTTTGGTTTATTTTTGTATCTTTTTATTGCACACAACTGGATTTCATCAGTTTGATTGTAGTAGTTTAGCTCTCACAAAACATGAGCAACATAAAACCACTAGTTCTCAATGCTGTACAAAAACCATCCCCTTGGCAAGGTCTAGAGCTTTGCTGCGCCCAAATAACTTTTCCACAATGGCTAGTGCAAATTCCATTGTAGTCCCTGGCCCTCTGCTTGTGATCAGAGTACCGTCAACTATCACCCTGTTTTCTGCTTTGCTTGGATCTGAGAGCTTATTGCACATTGCTGGAAAAGAGGTAGCTTTTTTGCCCTAAAAACGAAAGCAAAATCTCAGTGGCGAGTTCAAAGATGGGTTCTTGCAAAGGTATTGTTAAAATGATGCACAATGAGGGTCCATATCCATTCAAGAAGTCCATGGCAACCAATTTCTAATATGTCTTCATTGATTGATAGCTACTAAGCTCCATTATCTTCTATCGAATAAATTTATACCTTGAGCAAGCCATGTGGTTCAAGGACTAAGGCAGGAGAAGCGCATATGGCTCCGTACGGTTTGTTTGATTCTCTTTGGGTTTTCAACATGTTCACCAGTTTCTCTGAGTTTGCAAATGCCTCGGCACCGCCAAGACCACCCTGCATAATGTGGACCAATGAAGGGTTGTCCGCACTCAAGACTCATCAAGAGAATATATTGAGAAAGGCTTTGCACTTACAGGCAAGACAATGAGATCATATGTACTCTTAGCAGCATCCTCAAGCAGTAAATCAGCAACGAGTCTCACTTTCCTAGAAGCAACAATTTCTAGAGTATCTTCAACAGATGCAACTACTACTTGAGCTTTAGCTCGTCGAAGTACATCAACAATTATAAGTGCTTCCATCTCTTCAGATCCATTGGCAATGGGTACCAGTATCTGCAGAAGGCAAATAAAGTCAAATGCAGGAAAGTGTTTCCATTTTCCATGTCTTATTACAAGTAAAATGATATATGGACCTTTTATGTAAAAGGGTATTTGGTAGGGACTTAAGTAAATAAAGCATTAAAATAGTGCAGCATGTGGAAAAATAAAAGTTCCACCATTCACTTGTAACTTACCATAAGATTTTTGTTTACATTAAAAGTTGAATGCATATGCACACATCAAGTCTACGGTCATTCATTTTTTGATGTATGAAGTCATAATAATTGGTTAAAAGAGACTGGAGGGAGTAACTAACATTATTTTGAAACACAGAAAACTAATGCTAAGCATCTCTGCACTAAGTTTCTCACCTGTGGGTTATTGGTCACTGCCCAATTTACTGAATTGAGTTCAGCAAATGTATATTCGTCGTTGTGATTAGAGCGCATTACCTTGAATAATATGCAAAGATTGGATAACCATCATGAATCAGCAGACTAATCCACCATGATCAATGGATAAACATGAAATCTATTTAAAAAGGTACTTCCAAAACAAATAGGTTAAGAAAGGATAATTGAAGTAACCAAGCCAAAAATTAAACAAGTGCAAAGCAGAACCAAAAGTAGCTTGTGTGTAACACAGAAGTATTTTATTTAAAGTAACCCAAATCCCACATACCAGTGGACCTGAAACTTCATTGGCTTTCTCCTTTCCATACAATTTCTCAACCAGTGCAACAGCATACTCCATGACAGTTCCTGGTCCACGACTCGTGATAACATTTCCATCCAACTGCACTCTAGATTCAACAGCATTTGCAGATGATGAAAGTAGTTCCATGAATGATGGGTAACAAGTTGCCTGTCAACAAGAAAGGCGCATAAACAAAATGAATCCTCGCCAATTTACAATTGATGTCTTATGATCATATGCATGGATTATGGTTTAGGGTTTTATCACATTGCAACAAGTATGATTGAGTTAGATCGAGTGCTAAACCCAAATTGTTTATAACCGTAATATCTCTTTGAAGAAAGAAAAAGACAAAAAAAGAAGTCAAATTGATACTCTGGAAGTGAAATAAAAAGATTCAAGGACCATAAGTTATTACCTTAATCCCCTTCAACAGTCCCCACGATCCAAGTGCAACAGCCGGAGAGGCACATATTGCAGCATATAATTGTTTGCTTTCTGCCTGTTTTTTAAAGATGCTTTCCAAAGTTTTGCAGTCTCTAAGCGCAGCCGCACCAGGCATCCCTCCCTGTAAATCAACGAAACATTCCAGGAGTGGCACACACTATTCAGTAGAGATCACTACTAACAATGGAACACAAGTATAATATAAAAATAGACACAATACAGTAGGGGCAGTGAAAATCAATCCATCAATAACCAAAATGAATATCAGAGAGACTGTAATAAAACATTAAGAAACACGGTTAAGATATGAAATTTTAGTATGTCAAATTAAAATACAGGAAGAGAAACATACAGGAAGAGAAAGGAGATCAAACTCGATATCGGCACAGTCAGAAATGAGTGTATCGGCTATGATTTTGACTCCGTGTAGGGCGTCGACCAGGAGCTCCTTCTCCACTGAAGCCACTATGACCTCGGCTCCAGCCCTCCTCAGTATGTCAATTTGCACAACTGCCTCAATCGGCTCCGTCCCGTTGGCCACCGGAACCAAAACCTATACAACGAAATTTTGTCAATTCAAATACCTAACGGAGAAATTCAAACACTTCAGAATTTCAGACAGCACCTTTTTAGCAGCAGAAGCCATTACTGAATTTGTAGATGAGCCTGCGAGTGAGAATCGTTTGATTTTCTCACTATAATTTGATGGAGTATAATAATATGAGTGATACTGAGGGCTATTGAATTTCCTCGAGAGAGTGAAGTAGGGAGGGAGGTGGCAGCACAATCGTGTAACCGCCCTCATTTTGTTGCGCTGAAGGTCATCATATCCGGCTTCGACGGGTCGAACCCTGTCAGGTACGGGTTCGTAGTTTAGGATGGTTTATAAGAAAATATGGAATAAAACATATATCATATCCTCAAAATAGGAGTTCAAACTTAAACTCATCTAAATAGGAGTAATTAATTAATTTTTGTTTTGATTTACTCTTTCGCACTAACCACACCACATCCCAATCCTATGCAGTCGAAAAAGTCACCCGGCCCCTTCCCAATCCCATCCTTCTACGATCTTCTTTGTTCTTATCTCAGTTGCTGACGCTGTCAATTTAATCTCAATTCCCTCTATGCCGCTACCATCTCCTCTATGCGGCAATGATTCCACCACACTCTCCATCGTCTCCTTTTCTCTTATACACACAATCTCCTTCCACTCTTTCCACCATTTTTATTTTTCATGGCTCGAATGCCTCCATCCCCTTGGGTAAGTTTGAATTCAATTTTATATTTAATTTGACATAAATAGTTAAATTCAATTTTAAATCTAAAAATTTACTTTTTCGGGAATTATTTTGTAAAATTGATACTAATTCTTTTAGCCTTGCTTTAGTTTGAAACTTTAATTAATTTTATATTCAATTTCAAATAGATTGTGACATTTGATTTTAAATCTATTTTTACTTCTTAGAAAATTATTTTGTAAAACATATATTGAAACGAAATGATTAGTGTGTTGGCAAATAGAGTTTCTTGATGTTTAACTTTTTTGAGATTATGCATTAACATATGTGTTATATGTAAAATTATACATTAGCATATCTGTCATTATACATTGCCAAGTGTGACACTATATATTGTCATATTAGACATTATCTCTTGGTTTAGCATTATGCATTTGCATGTATGACTTTATACAATAACATGATTGTCATTATGCGGTTACGTGTGACGTTAAATGTGGTCTTGTTTGACACTGTATAGACATTTTACTGTAGTAATTTACTGATTTTCTATTTATTGCTTAAAAATTTTGACATATATCTACAAGGTATTAATCAGGTCTCATATATTTATTGATTAAGAATTTTGGCATTAAGTGTGGTATTGTTTGATCTCATAAAAAGGTGATTGGGTAATAAACTTAACAAACTTTATGCTATTACAAATTGGTATTTGTAAAGCCAACCTTTTAATTCAAAAAATAGGTAATTGGGTTGATCTCATAAAAAGGTGACTAATAGCATAAAGTTTGTTAAGTTTAGACATTGGTGTAAAAAGTTATGAGCAAAATTGTTGTTATAATTCAATAAATAAATATAAATATTTTATAATATAATAATAATAAATAATCAATTTTCTANCCCCCCTTAACTCCTTAAGTGTGTACACGCATGCAAGAAAAGAAAAAAACAAAGGGAGAAGCTAAGAGAGCGTGAGAAGAGAGAATTGAGGACAAAAATTAATTAACTACTCCTATTTAGAGGAGTTTAAGTTTTAACTCCTATTTGAGAATATAACATAACTTTTACTCCTAGTTTGGTCCTTCTCCCATGGTTTATTTGGGAGGATTTACTTATCTATACCCAAGGATTTGTACCTCATTTTGTACACTGCAGAGATGTACTAACATTTTGTATTGGTGTAAAACTAATTTTTGTTAACGCACCAACACTTTGTGTCAGTGTAAATTTTTGTTAACGCACCAACACTTTATGTCTGTGTGAACCATCAAAATGTTGGCGCATAACTTTAGTGTAAAAATGGTGTACAAATTTTGGGGAATATGTAGCATGCTCCTATTTGGAAACTAAACAAGGAAAAGGATCATACTAGGAGTAAAGAGAAATGTTTGGTTTACAAACACAAACTTCACAAACTGACTATTTGTAGACTTCAATAAAAAAAAATTAAATAGACTAAAATAATTTTAAAATGAGAATTTAAATCATAAATAGTAAGTTTGTGAAGTTTGTGACCATTCTGTCTATGAACCTAGCATTGCTCAAGGGTAAAACATATATTCCAAAACTAAAAAATAATTCACGAACGGTGCTCCTTTGTTCCTAACGCCCCTGCTGCCACTATCGATGTGCCCCTGCTCAACCGTCATCCCCCCCAACTATCACTTGAACCTCCGTTGCCACCGTGCCCTGCTCCGTCGCCGCTGCTGTTGTCAAAACCCACCTGTTGCCACCGTTTATTTTTCACCATCGACGACAACACCGCTCTTTACCATTAACTATCAATGCAATGTCAAAGAAAGACATAATGTCAAACCTGACATCACACAATGTCATACATGACAACCTGTAATGCCACAGATATATATATATATATATATATATATATATATATATATATATATATATATATATATATATATATATATATATATATATATATATATATATATATCTTTCTATATTATATAAATGTGAAAGAGGGTTAGGTACCTCTTAATTTTATGCACTTTATCCATCCAAAAGAGTTGTACATTATGCTTTGGATGTTGTACACTAATCTTAAATCCCAACTTTGCTATTACACCGTTACTAGAATGTTTCCTTGGAAATTCATGTCACATTAATATTCTCAAATTGCTATTAATTACTCCATAAGTGATATTGATTAAATGCTTTTAAGTTTCTTTTATTATCTACAATATTCAGAGTCTGCTTCGAGGTATGTGAAATGTTTCATTATCAATTTCTTTGTCATTTTTTAATTTACATAATTTTTTTCATGTCTTAAAATCACCAAATGGTAGTATTTAGGGAATAACAATCACGCGGGTATTTTTCTCAATTTGTTAGGTACAACTCAAGAATTTGGTAGACCATTCTATTACTAATTACTAAACAATATAATCCGAACAACATTCTTTAGATAATTATTATTCAATTCATCAAATTTTAAATGCAATATTATTCGATCAAAAAATGCCACTATGGTTGAACAAAATTAACATACTTTTACATATTAATTCGGGACGTGGGGACTCTTTATTTATCAAATGATAAAAAATGATTCAAAATGAGTTTCGTTTACCATATATTCAATTCTCATGTTTTTTGGTTTTACACTTTTGTTTTTAAAATAAGTGTATAAAAATGAAATGATTTCATTTAGGCAAAAGCTTAAGTTGATTTTAAAAATATTTAAAGTTTTTTGGGTTACCAAAAAACTTGGTTGATTGTGTCTATTATTGGCAATGAATAAAGCCTTTTTAAATAATAATAATAATAATAATAATAAGTATGACTCAAAATTGGGGCGTAAGGAGTTACAATTTGTTCCTAGAAGAATGAGTTTACAACAAACTGGGACGTAGAAAGTTTTTATTTAGGGCAAAGTATTTCAAAAGAATGAAATGATTTCATTTAGGGAGAAGTGTTTTCATTTAAGTTGTTTTAAAAAAATAGTTTTTTTCAGTTTACCATAATTCTTGCTTGTGTTAGTTCCATGGTGTTGGCTGATCTTTTGGCAAAATAGAATCCCGTATTTGTTAGGTGTTTTACTAGGTAGAAACTTCTATTTGTTAGGAGTGGTTTATTTTATTTAGACTTCTAGAGTTGCTGCAGTTTTCGAAGTTGACCCAGAAGATGCTACAGCACGATGCTGCAACACACAGTTCGGGATCAGAAGTCTGAGCACAAGATTTTAAGCTCTAATCTAAATCAGAGACCTATTGGGATTGTGATAACATGATAATAACTCCAGTTCTACATATTAAGGAATCCCAATTCTTTAGGCTACTTGTGGATCAAGATTAAGGAAGTTGTATTCAAGCCAACTTCTACTAACTTATTCCTACTAGGATTGTGTTAAGAGAAGCCTATAAAAACACAGCAGGTCCTGACAATTACTTGGAGCAATTGAGAGGGAAAACAAAGAATATACGCTGATGTAGAGCTTTCCTGTCGCGTCCCGGAGCTTCCCATGCGTGAAGAAAGACACGATCTACATGAAGGAGTCCTACAGCGAAAAATAGTTCGTGACAACCTGGAGGTGGAAAAGAGCTTAAGGAGAGGGCTGCCAACACGTTTGTCCTCGTGATCTCGGTGGAGATGTGATAGCCGAAGCGGATCTATACAGGGTGCGGGTTAGAAATCCTAGATTAGAAGTTTATCATAACAATTTGGAGAAGTGTGTCTCATCATGTTGTTATGTACCGGTGTAACTTGCATCTAGTGATTTAGTGGAGGGCTATTACACGGACGTGAGCCCCGCAGATGTAGGAGAGTTCTCCGAACTGCGTAAACATATTTGGTGTTTTTTTACGCATCTTATAGTTACAGCACTCTGTCAAGTAGGCGCTGTAACGCCCTCTGCATCGTCTGCTTCTGTGTGTGTTTGTGACAGAGAAGTGTTATAACACACTGTCTGTCATCTGTTACTGTGACAGTGATGCATCATCTTCTCTGCAGCATAGTTGACTGCATTGTTTGCATAGCTCTTAATTGGTGATTTCCGTTGCGCCCCCACGAACTTACAGCTTGTTTGTGTCAATTCCTCAGAGTAAATAAGGCTTTTTTTAATAAAATGATAAGTACGACTCAAAATTTGGGACATAGGAAGCTAAGTTTGTCCTTAAAAGATTAAGTTTACAAATCAAATTGGAACATAGGCAATTTTAATTTTTTATATGAAAAGAAAAAATCCTTCAAAATGACTTGTATTTACCCTGTGTTCAGTTCTCAAAATTTCTAAGTTTTTTAATGTTACATAAGAATTAAATATTATCGTTTAGATAGAAATGTTTTCAATTGAGCTCATTTAAATCCATTTATAAATAAATTGGTTGAACAAAATAATCACACTTTTACAAATTAATTTTGGGCATAGGGAGTTTATTTGTCAAATGATAAACGAGAATGTCTCAAATGACTTTCATTTATCACGTGTTCAATTCTCATGCTCTTTTGTGTCCACTATAGAGAATTCTTGGTTGTATTTGGGTTATCATAATTCTTGGTTGTTTGTATCCACTACTCACAGTAAATAAAGTAATTTTTTAATAAAATGTAAGTACGACTCAAAAATTGGGACGAAGGAAGTTAACTTTGAAGAAAACCCCCT